CAGCATTTGATACAACCACATCTATTTTTCCATATTTCTGAAAGAAAACTAGCAATTTTAAAATCACACTATATAATAACATCAAACTATTACAAGCATATACTGCTCTAAAGATGTTCTTGCTAGATAAAACAATCACAGTCAAACTTGACTTGCTTTGCATTTCCAAAAGGTAAGAATTTGAGACATTTTTAAATTTGAATTTTCCAATTTCAGATGAAAATCATAGAGAAGGACATGGTAACTTTATAGTAACAAAATGGATCAGAAAATACGAGATAAGCAGCATATACTAACAGCAACAGTCTTTTGAATAAGATCTTTCCTGTGTTGTGCATTTGAGACATGACAAACCACTCCAAACGCTTCGAGTCCTTCGTCTTTTCAACTGCTTCATACACATTTTTCTGCAAGCACAACCAAAGCACGAACATCCATGATCCATCCTTATATTTTGAAGGAATGAAAAAAAATATAAAACTTTATTCAAAATTTTAACATTTTAATTCGAAAGGGGAAGAAAACAGAATTCAATATTCGATATGAAAGTTTTGAACTTGCAATAGAAACCTCCTACTTTAAAATTCCGTAGACGGGCTAAACTGATATCGGTAAATAGTTAACCTTAATAAATAAATAAAATCATAAGTCAATAAGAACATGAGCTGCAACCAAGTATTCTTGGAAGGGGGAAAAGTCCATAATTTAAAACGTTACAACTTAGGAGAATAAGAAGGAGAACAATAACCTGTTTGCGGAGGCTCCTTCCAACCCAAGACGCTCGGCGATGGCGAAGCCGATGCCCTGAGTGGATGCAGTGACTATTGCAACTTTGCCTTCAAATCTCCGCCCAATCTTCTTCGCCATTTTCAAGGAGAGTGAGTTGTCTTCTTTCCGTTAATACTAATGCCAACGATCTATGTGATTTTCGTGCACGTAATCAAAGATGTCTCTTCAAACTGTATATATCTAAAATTTATTACTTTACACTATATTTTAACTATTATTTGATTGATCTGTAGTAGGTTTATGCTTCTATGAATATAATACTTACATTTTATTTAAAAAATTATTATTAAATTAAAATAAAAAAGTTCTCTCATATCCAACATCCAAGTTAGTTGGGATTTCTTAATAATAAAAGGATAAATTATGTTAGACATTATTAAAATTTATGTCACATATCAATTATATCATTATTTTCAATTACTTCAATTATAATATTAAACTTTAATATTATTAGTTTAATAATGATGTAAATCACATGATTATCTGAACACCAAGTTTTTATCATTGTGTGGGCGTGAATATCAGGGTTAAGAAAGATAAAGTTAGCTGGCAACTCCTTGTTTGGTTCCTGCTCATGTTCCTAAATTTTCCATGGTTTCTTGGATAGTCAACTTAAAGGGTAAGTCTTTACTGATGTATATTCTTAAATTGGCTTGGACAGAATTTATATAATTCATTTGGGAGGAGCGTAATTAAAGGCAATTTAAAGAGTTGATTCGTTGGATTAATAAGATTGTTAAGAGTATAAAAGAACTGTTAGAATCAAATTGTATAAATGCTGTATGAACAGGTAGGATAAGGTCAACAAGCAATTATGCATTTACTGGAGGTTGTTATAAGTGCACGTGTAAGTTTTGATTGTAGCAACTTGTCTGCTTTCTTAGATGAATATAATTTTATTTATCACCACTTTCCGTTTGCCTTTCTCAGTTTATTTGTTTTTGTCCCGCAGAGCATAGCAAATTTCGACGCCATGAGTCTCTCTTCTTCGGCGTTTGCAATCTCAGCATCCTCCTTTCCCTCAAATCTAGGCATACTAAAACCCGTGTTCCTTTCAACTTCCAAAACCCTTTGCGTTGCAGCTCCCCACTTTCCATTCGATCGCTATCCAGGTAATTTGTTCGACTGATCCTTCAGTTCCACCATGATGTAATTAAAGAAAGAGGATTAATTTATGGGTTTTTGCTTTAATGGTTGTAGGAAGTTGTATCCAGTCAAAGCAACAGTTGTGCAGGAAGATGAAGAAGAACAAGTTGTCGTAGAAAGATCATTTCCGACGAAAAGTCCCCCAGGAACTGAGATTGAAGAAGTAGGGGCATCACGTGCGAATTCATCTTCTAGTGGTTTGGAGAGATGGGTCATCAAGGTTGAACAATCTGTGAATATATTCCTCACGGTAAAATGATTTTTTTTTTAACTTTTGTTAGAATTACTGTGATTAAAGTTCAATCCCTTATTTTTCAGCCAAATTTAATTTGTTATTGATGTTGTTAGAACTTTTTTCCCCTTCAGGATTCAGTTATAAAGATACTTGACACATTGTACCGTGACAGAGATTATGCCAGATTTTTTGTTTTGGAAACAATTGCTAGAGTTCCTTATTTCGGTTAGCAACTTTTTTCTTACATCCTTAATTCACTGTTCTCATTATACCAGAAAAGTGTACCGTATGGAAGTGTTCTTATTTGTTTTAACATTTTGCTTGAACTCGCTGACATGATCTTCCATTTCCTGGAGATAATTGAAAGAGTTTTCTTGATATTTGGGTATTGTTTTTTGTCTTTATGGCAGCTTTTATATCTGTCCTGCACCTGTATGAGAGTTTTGGTTGGTGGAGGAGAGCGGACTATCTAAAAGTGCATTTTGCTGAGAGCTGGAATGAGATGCACCACCTTCTAATTATGGAAGTAAGGTCCTAAATGGTTAAATGTGAATATAAACCGTGATTAGAATGAGGCGATTTCCAGTGAGTTGAATAGAAAATTATAATTTATGAAGATAATAGATGGTTTCTTTAATCTCACTTTAGGGGGAGAGGGAGGGGGTGGAACCTAGCATGGTGCATACGATTCTTATAATGTTGTCTCAGTTACATGACTTCTCTTATAACATTTGGTTGCAGGAATTGGGGGGGAATTCTTGGTGGTTTGACCGCTTTCTTGCTCAACATATAGCATTTTTTTATTATTTCATGACAGTCTTCATGTATGCCTTAAGCCCAAGAATGGCATGTAAGTACTATTATCTGGATTTTGCTTTGCACAATGCCTATTTTACTCTTCTGCACCTGCGTGCACACACACATGTTTTTTGGATTCTTCTGGCCTCTTCAATCTGCATGATGAAAGGGCGTTTCCTGCTCGATTGAAGACCTTATACACTAATAAGCTTCTAGGAGAAACCTATTGATGGACATCAGCAGTTATCGAGACTAAAATTGCCATCTAATTTGGTAGTTATGCGAAGGAATGTTCTTGCATACAACCAACGGCCTCCTGCCTTAACTTCAACCTATTTATCGGTTTTAACTGGAAAAAGATCTAAGAGAATAAAGGGATTGTTTTATATATCTTAACCTCTGTTTAGTGTGAACACAAAATTACTACTCTGTAGGTTGCTTAATATTCTCAAAAAATCCCCCCTCTTTCCCTTCTCTGTGTTTTTTTTTATACTGTAACATAGCTCTAATTGTGTAGGACACAATATACATTCTGTAGAGTGGGTGATCACCTCCATTCATCTATGGTGCTTAATTTAACATATTTGGTTTCTTGACTACTGCAGATCACTTTTCTGAATGTGTAGAGAGCCATGCCTTTGAAACCTATGATAAATTTATCAAGGCCCAAGGAGGTAAGTTGAAAGCTTCTTATTTCGTGATCATCATCAATCTTAAGCTAGCTTGCAGCTTGTAAATGTATCATTTGTCACAGGTTTGACAAAAAGCTCTATTTTCAAATTATCCTTCATATCTAAGTTAATTGGTCACTGGCAACTAATTGGTGTTAAGGGCTTTTTTGACAAGTCTTTAGATTGTTGCATTGCATCTTTAACCGACTGCCTTTACCCAATTTTTATCTGATATTTCTTTTGTTTCCTTGTAGACGAGTTGAAAAAAAAGCCTGCTCCCGAGGTTGCTATCAAGTATTACACTGGAGGTGATTTGTATTTGTTTGGTGAGTATATTTTGTACTGCATGGCTCAGTCTTTTAATATCTCGTATTGGGCTTTAACAATTCACCCACATTTCCTGTCCAGATGAATTTCAAACTGCTAGGGCTCCTTTTTCACGAAGACCAAAAATAGGTAATGGACAGAATTTTTCCTACTCAATCCTACTTTATTACATTGCAAAGCCTATATGTGTTGCATTGTTACAAAATAGGTTAATTAGGAATTCATTCTTCAACTAGATACAATGTTGCGAGTACGTGTGAATTCTGCATTAAGTGTACTAATCATAAAGACCATTGAACTGGCAAGTGACAAATAATGGCCTGAATAGGATATATGACAATAAACTATAGGAATCTAGTTTCTAAACTGACAGAATTGGTTTGTATTTTTATGGCCATTCACAGATAATTTGTACGATGTGTTTGTGAATATCAGAGATGATGAAGCTGAACATTGTAAGACAATGAAGGCCTGTCAGACTCACGGAAACCTCCGGTCTCCTCATTCATATGAGGATGACTTCGAGGACATGACTGATTGCATGATTCCTGAAGCAGATTGTGAAGGAATTGTAGACTGTACAAAGAAATCATTTACACCCACTCAAGCAAAGCAAACGGAGACGGTTGATGGAAATATATAATGCACTCATACACTACACATTGTGACATGAGATGTATGGAGTACAATATATATAAGAAAATTACCTACCTACAATATATTGCGTTTGATTCATAAATGTAAGTTCTATTTTGAAATTCGGATACCTTCCCTGCTTAGAAGGAAAGTTGAAGGCCACCTTGCAATACAAAGTATTACGTTGATAGTGATTATAGTTTCTGATTTGTGCAACTAGCAGTGCCCTTTTCATTGTTGAAGTCATTCTCTTTTTGGTTTTGAGAAATAAGTGGATCTAATATTAACACTGGGCTAAGTTAATGGGTGGTACCACATGTGCCCCTTTGGACTTAATACTATTTTCCATATAAGAACAGCAATGCAAAGAAAATCCAGAAACAGCGAAGAGAAGTAAAATGTGGACGAGCAACAATCAGACCGTCAATGGAGAAATGACGACTGAAACGATATCTCTGCCTTTGAATTTGACGTACCTCATTATTCTTCCCTATGAAGAGACAATATTATATACCGTCTCCCCACTCTTTAAACCGAACAGAGGTTATCCGACGAATCTTTTGGCACTGAACAAAGAAAAGCCGCGTGAAAAAGAAGAAACAGATACAAGAAGCACTACAGACGACGCAATGCAACACTAATGTATAGAAGCAGTGGAAGTAGGGTGATACTTATTTACCTATGGGTTTTATAGATACATAATCCTGAATTGTCCGTCCAGCTCAATTGGTAAAGAGCAAGGCTCTTAACCTTGTGGTCTTGGAATCGAGTCTTACGGTGGGCAATTCATAATTCTGACTGTCGAAGGTCTCCCACGGAAGTTGCTTTCAAGTGTTGGGCAGCCTACTATCCTACCTCCCCTTATCCCATTACATATGAGAATAGGATCAGCTAATTTTAATTTATTTTATAGATACATAACCCTAGACGCTCCTGTCAATGATTAGTTTACCACAATACCCTTTTTGAATTATTAAATTTGGGGTACACTGACTGCACATCTGTTTGAATGTGCATTGGTTCATTCCCTGGAATGGGCTATTACAGTTGGGACATGGCCTAATCCCTTTGAATGGGGAGTTTGACACCTCGTAATATAGCCCACTCCAGTTCATTATTCCCACTAATTAAGGACTTGCTTAAATTAGATGTTTCAACCACTGCCTGCCGAATCGAAATCACAAATAATTAAGTGGATCGTATATTCTTCTTCTACTTCTTCCCCACATAACAAGCAACCATGCGAATAAACACAAGTATCAAATTGAAATTGGATTTACTACGTGCTTGTTAACCCCTTTTTTGACATAAAACTCCCTGTTAGTAGGCCTATCGCCTATGAACCATTTTATATGATTCCGAGTAACTAGGCATTTAGAAACAATAATGAGGTTCTGCTCGAGACTCAAACTCACAAGGGGCAAGGAAACAAGTATGATGATGGCCAAGGAAAAAAAGTAGGATGATGATGACTGATGGTGGAATTAGTTACATGTTCTATTCATAATTTCAAATTTCAACCACTCAGCCTCACAATCAATGATGCTCTTATGGTGGTTTACATACACTCAAACAAGGCTCAGAGGACATATGCTATAAGAATTCCCATAATTTTAAGATCAGCAAAAACGTGTATGTGTACGTTATCATGACATGTTGATACCCATGCCAAGTGCTGAGCCATTGCAGAGGGAAGCTGGAAATTGTGACATGTTTTATATTTACTCAAATCTCCCATTCTGCACGTTCTTTTGTCATTTGCAGTCAAATGAAAATGCAGATAACGGTCGAGTTATTTCTAAAATATCGCTGCCCCTTTCCTTTTTCTGGCTTTCCCCGCATTCAGATTGATTAGGCAAATTGCAATCTGTTTTATTCACACTATGTACTTATCGTCAACTTTCCAATAGCTAGTTTTTAGCCCATGTACAGAGTCAGAAAGGCAGTAACTTTTGGCGACTGTGACTTCCAAATTGCCTTTTAGGTCGGTTTCTTTTCATTTCAGTGGATAAGTTTCTTGTCACTTTCTCATTCAATGGTTTACATCAGTCGATGTTTACTTGGACTGCAGGTGACTACTGCCAAGGTGAAACGGGTATTACAATAGTTGGCCGTGCTACTTTCAGTTTCAAAAAGGACGACACGGAAAGTTATTAGTATTATATACACTAACACGGGTTTAAGCAGGCCATTAGAGTCAAACCCAAGTATCTAAATTACATGTAAACCAGGGTCGTATAGGTGCCCCTTTCCATTATTCGAAAATGAAATTAATTATAATAAAGTCAAGGAGGCAGGTAGAATGGATTGAAGGTTATAGTTTGCAATCGAAAAGTTTATTAATATTAATAACTTATGATATTCGAGTAAAAATATATTTGTATCCAACACGTAAATTCGAGTTTAAGACTAAGTATAAATTATTATATTGGACCGACACAAATTATTTAAAATAATAAAGATAGAAATGAGACAGTAAGTTATAAAAGCCTAATATAGCCAAAACAGAATCTTGAAGGCAAATTGCATATCAGATATAATTTGGTCACTTGGATAACACACAACATCTCATTTAAATCACAGCCACTAGCGACTAGGCGTCATATAGAACAATTCTTAGTCCAAGCTTATTTGAACTACTAAGATCCACACCTGCAAGCACTCACAAATTCCACAACCGTAATAATTTAACATAATTCATACGTCAGCCGACTAAACTTATTAACAGAAACGCACTTCTAAATTAAACCCGTCTCTCTTTCGGTCACTGAAGGACTCAAACAGTTGCAATAGGATCCAAGTTAACTGTGGAGTCCATGGTCTTCATGGCTTCGAACCTTGGCTCCTTGGCTTGGAACTTCAGGCCAGCATAGAGCTTCATGTAGTCCTCGAACACAAATTTGGGATACACTTCAGATTTGTCAGCTTCTTTTTCCAGCAAAGCCGGCGCTGGATATATAACAGCATCGCTTCCCGGGTTGTAGAAGGAAGCAATCGACATCCTGGTGCCATCTGTTTGAGCAATCACGCGGTGCATCACACTCTTGTATTTGCCATTCGTGATTACCTGGTTCAAGCAGATATTAATGAATAAAAATCACTTGAAACATGATGTAAAATAATTAAGGCCCAGTGCTTGCTTTGTTATACCTCAAGCTGGTCACCAAGGTTGACGACGATGGAGTGTTTCATTGGAGGAACATCGATCCATTGTTCATCCTTGAGAAGCTGAAGGCCGCTGACCTTGTCATCTTGGAATAGTAAGATGATTCCACCAGCATCAGTGTGAGCCCTGAGTCCCTTGATCAGGTCTGGTTTGGGGCATGGAGGGTAGTTGCTGACTTTGGTTCCAAAGTTTGGTCCTTTGGATCCATAAAACAGCCTTTTCAGGTAACCAGGCTCCAATCCCAGATTCTCACACAACAAGTCCAAAAGTTGCTCTGCAAGCTTCTCCAACTCCTCTGCAAATTCCTTCATCGCCTTTCTGTTGTAAAAAAACAAAGTGAACCATGTCAGTTAAAAACATAAAGACTTTTACTGTGCAAGAAAAGAAAGTGAACTCTGAAGTCTGACCTGTAATCTTCTTCAAGATCAGGTATTTCAGACATGTTTGATTCAGGCAAGTGGCGCAAGAAGAAGGTGCTTTCCCAGTCCATGTCATTGATCTCAGATTGAACAGCCTCAAGACCCTTACTGGCAACCATTTCTTTGAACCTTTTCTCCATGCAATTTTTGTAGTGCTCCTTTGTCAGCCTTTCCACTGTGTCCAGCATCTCATGAGATATCTCATGGTTCACCAGCTTTTCAAGAAAATAGTGAGAAAAAAATATACAACGAAGGATTAGAAGCATTATTATAATCAATTGTGAATCAACCGAGTAAAAGTTGTAAACTATAGATATGCTTGATTTAGTATAAAGCACACATTTAAGAGCATATAGTACCTCAAAGAAACCCCAATTCTCACAGGCATCTTTGATCATTTCCATGGCGGTTGCTCTCTCCTCCCCATCGAGTTTGGAGAAGTCAATCACAGGGAAAGTGGCTCCATTGTTGATCCGGGATCTTACTAAGCTTTTCTAGTAACGTGTTGCTGTGTTCGTTTCAAGGCGTGAGTGAAATGGGGTTATGGGGAAGTGCAATTTATATGCAGGGATGAGGGGCAAAACAGGTGAAATTAAAAATGAAAGTGGGGAGCAAAGCAGATTAAACATAAAAGAACGTCGACTGAAAAAAATCCAAAATCTATGTGAAAGAAAAAATAGTGCTTGTACCGCTGTTTAAATGTCCGATGTATATGCAGAGAATTAAATAAAATATTTTTTGTTGAAATAAAATAGCAAGACCGTCACTGTCAAATTGAATTTCTTTTGTTAATATACAATCATTGTTATATACATTCTATGTTAGTGTTAATTATATTTATCTTTCACGATTGATAATAATTTTTTTCGTATTTATTATTAGTCTCATTTTATTCTTTGTTATTTAGTTTTTACATTTTATTATTTTAATGATTAGTATACATACGTAAATAAAAAAAAGCATTATTCTCAAAATTTTAACATTAAACGTTTATATTTCTGATAATTTTGATGCTCGAACATTAGAACTCAAATTTGATGAGAAAATTAAGGTTTAACGAAAGAGTTTGTAACATTTAATCCGACTTTAATAATGCGTCGGTACATAATGTTTGAAAATAAATACAAATAGTTAAGCCCGTTTAGCGATAGCTGTCGCTTAACTCACGGTGAATATAAGGAACAAAGTCCCAAGATATTATAAGAACTTACCGTAAAGGTGGGTGGGGCGTTGGCAAAAGAGTGATTAGAACGTAGATAGATAACACATTGTCGGTGGCGAAGTGACGGGCATGATCCATTGATTTGTAACATGGTTACTTTCGACTTTATCTAAAACATTCTTTTTCCTTGGTGGGGAGGGATTGAAGATGACCGATTTGCTCGTCCCTCGTAGCCTGTCCCTGTCTTGCTTTCATCCCCGGCACTTCTACGAACCCCGAGGAGGCCACCTTCCCTCTTGCACGCCTCATTCTTTTCTTTTCTTTTCTTTTTTTTCAATTTGGATTAATACAAAAATAAGTATTTAAATTTTGTTATGAAAAACGTTTTAATGTATAAATAATTTTTTGTTAAAAATAGATATTTAACGTTTTCATCGGAGATTTTTAGGTGCATAAACCGTAATGAATTTTAAATTTAGCCGTTAAGTGACTATTGTCACGTTCTGATAATTTTGTGAATTTAGTTAAAAAATCTTTTTTATTAAAAAAACATAAACTCAACCCACGTCCCCCTCTCTTTTCCCCCATCCCCTTCCAATTTCCATGGTCACCGACGGGACATACATGACAGTCACAACTATCTTTATTGGTATTGACGTCGACCCCCAATTAAACTTCTGTTAGACTTTCGTCGTAAGTGTCACCGATTGTCGTAGAGAAGCGTTCAAAGGTTCATCGATTTCGATCCCGACCGTTATTGTTTTTCGTCGATTCTAGATGATCCCGACATCCATAAGTCATATCGCCGCCACCATTAGAACCACCATGTCATTCCAGTCAAAATCCAAGTGTTCGACGACGATGGTAACAAAAAATGGTCGGTGACAGTTGATAATAGATGTTGAAATGAGATATTTTAATTTTTTTAGAGTTTTTTATAATTTCATTAAAAGTTTGGGTTTTTATAAATATATTAAGTTTTTTTTGAAGAATTTTTAAATAATATTTTTATTATTAAAAAATAAAAATATAACAGTAGGCACTTGAAAACATAACTGATAAAAAGTTATACACTTATTTTTAACAAATTTTCTTTAGACACCAAAACGTTTTTCGAACTAGTATTTAAACACTTAATTTTATATTAAGCCTTTTAATTTTGTTGAAACTCGTAAATTCACATCATAATTTATTATGTTTTAACTTCCGGTAAATTATTATATTGGTGATTAAATTATTATTATTTAATTTTAGTTATTAAACTTTTTTTAATAAAATTATTTTTAATGTTATGTATTTTTATTTTAACCGCCTATTGTTAAAAATTGAAGACATTGAAGTATAATTTATTTTCATTTTTATCGAGTATTACTGCACGTAAAACTCTAGTAAATTAATATTACCCTTTATTTTTTTCATTAATTTAGCATCATTATAAAGTAATATAATTCGAAATATTCAATTATTTTGATAATGAATGCTCATACACCTCTATAGATGTCGTGTTAAAACCTGATACCTTAAATGATAACAATCATCCCTTTAACCACTGAGATCATCTGGTTCGTACTTTTTATTGATTCATTAATACATTATATTAAGAATATCTTTTAATGTAAATAAAAGTTAGTAGTTTTATTACAAAAAATCTAAAATTACAATGAAAGGTACAACCATAAATGTAAACTAATCACATAATTATGATATCTTTCTTTAATCATTGACTGTAAATTAGACAATTGATATTATACAAGGAAAATATTAAAATTTCATCTAAAAATTCGAATAAAATATAAATACGAACAAATTTGATTGTATCCACAAATGAACCATAATATGAGATCAAAATATTAAAATACCACCGACAATCACATATAAGAGTCAATCGTCGTGAGAAAATTATCTTCAAACACAAATCGTATATATGAATCTAATCCAATGGTTTAAAACAAAAAAAACACTATGATAACAAATAAACGTCATCTTGATGGTTAAGACAACATCAAATCCAATTTTGAAAAACTTAAAAACTTAAAAATATGAAAAAAATTTTAAAATACAAATGATCGACGATGGATACTAAAATTGTTATTGTTGTCTGAAAAAAAAATCAGGCTAAGGCGAGAGAATTTTTTTAGAAATGCATATTAACTTAACGCCATACTTATAGGCTATTCACATATATTATGCTAACCTAAAAGAGCCTCTTGTAAGAGGATTTTAATGTTTAGTCATTGTACTAAATAAATAATTATTATCTCATTGATAAAATATGATTAATATTATTTATATTAATATTAATTATTATATTTAATTAGTTAAAGTTTATATATATTAAAATTATTTTATATTTATTGTGATTCTAATAATTTAATTAAATAATTATTTGTTTTATTTTTATAATTCTACTATATTAAAGTATATAAATATTGAATATATGATGATCATTATAGAATAAATATCATTTTTAAAATTATTTTTATTAAATTCTATATAAACTTTAAGTTCACCTACTACCATACGAGGAATGCTCACGTGCGACAGCTTTAATATACGGTTAAAAAATACACTATTAGTTTTGTTATTGTTTAAATAACAAAACTGGTAAAAAATGATCGGAAACATTATTAGGCGCTACCGGTTTTGTTATTATTAGGAGTTTTAACCGGATTTTCGAAAATATGACCGGAAACATATTAGGCGCTACCAGTTTTATTATTTGAGCATTTTTACCGAAAATGTAAAAAAAATGATGTTTTAGGTAAAATAATAACATTTATGTAATTTTTACCGATTTTATTATTTAAACAATAACAAAATCGATAACTCTTATTTTGGTCTTATATTAAAGTACGCACTATAAAATTTCCCCTACTATACTTTAAACAAAGTTCACCTACTAAAGTAACAAGTGTACTGATGTAGGGAAGTCCTAGAGTGCGACACATTCAATATACAATTAAAAAAATATATTATCGGTTTTGTTATTATTTAAATAATAAAACCGATAAAAAATTACTTAAAACACTATTATTTCTACCTAAGACATCAATATTTTTTAATATTTTCTATAAAGTTCCAATAATAACAAAACCAATAAAAAATAACAAAATCGATATAAATAATAATATTCAGTAATTTTTATTAATTTTATTATTCAATATCGACTGATGTGACTTCACCTACTACCGTACGTTAAACCAAGATCCTTTATTATTCAATTTTCGAATTTGATTGAGATCTTTCATATTTCGGGTGTAGTTTTTTTTTTCCAGTTTAATAAAACATTATAAGAAAATGTCTAAACACCTACGTTTACCTAGAAGTGGTAATTAAATGAAATGATAATTATAATAGAATCAAGATTTTCATTCCATTATTAGTTTAAGACGATATTATTATTAATTTATTTTGTTCATTACTTTTATTTATTCATTATTGATCGATTTCGTTCCTATATTGAACCTCTCATGTCATGCAACGTTTCATTTTTAAATTCCTTAAACTTTTTTTTATTCCTTTTGATTAACTGATGGGTGTTACTCACTTCTCACTAATAACATCAACGTTGATCACTTATATATTTTTAAGGTCGACATATATATAATATTTAATTAATTAGAGTACACATTAGTCGGTACTAATTTCAACTATCTTTTTACTTTAGTAGAAAAATAATTTTATGATATATATTTAACCTATTGTCTATATATAACTTCGTGTATCATGAATAAAATATATTAAGATATATTATTAATAATTTTAAATTCATTCAAAATGCATATTGTTATTATTCAATATAGAATTTCTTATCTTATTTTTAATGCATTTTAAAATGTACTTTAAAACATACAATAATGTCTTGAATTTCTTAAAATGTATTAAAACATTTTAGTTATAGATTTTATATTTAAAAAGATGAATTTTGAAATTCAATTAAAATGTCACTTGTCGAATTTTTTATTTAAATACCTTGTTTTATATTATATGATATATGATGTGCGCCTAGGCCCATTATATTGATCATGTTGCCCTACAACTTGCATTGTGCCATCCCACCTCAAATTATATAATATCCATGTTTTGTAATCAATATTGTCGCAAATAATTCTACTCACTATTATTTATAAATATTATCTTTCATTATGTCCATACCTAAAATCTAGACACTTGAAAGTATTTTCCTCACACAAATCTATACATATATATAAATATATCATCTTAGTTTCCGATTGGTTCCCATAACTGTAATAGATTTTCAGTGCATGAATGGTTGCATGCGCATAGAGATCATACCCGAATTTTTCAGACATTCCTGTAGGTACTTGGTGCACATGCCATGTTTTATTAACTCATCCCATTAGATTCCTTT